TGTATAGACAGGTGTGTGGCTTTCCTAATCACGTCCAATCAGTATAATCAAACACCGCTGGACTCAAATGAAGGTGTAGAACCATCTCAGGGATGATCAGATGAAATGGACAGAGCCTAAGTTAAATATATGAGTGTCACAGCGAAGGGTCTGAATACTTATGACCATGTGATATTTCAGTTTTTCTTTTTTAATAAATCTGCAAAAATGTCAAAAATTCTGTGTTTTTCTGTCAATATGGGGTGCTGTGTGTACATTAATGAGGAGAAAAATGAACTTAAATGATTTTAGCATATGGCTGCAATATAACAAAGAGTGGAAAATTTAAGGGGGTCTGAATACTTTCTGTACCCACTGTATGTGTTATGTCCATTACACTATAATCCTTCACTTAAATGTGGAAGATAGGTAAACTCAAGTGCTTGGTTTTAAACTAGTGTGGTTGTCTGACCCTCCTACATTGCTGTCATACCCACTTTGCTGTTGTGAAGCAGTACCCATTAATGTTATTTTAGGAGCTGTCCTAAGATGTCAACAGTTCAGTTTGGTAGTTAATATAACCTGTATGAAAGAAAGTCACAACTCTGAAAATAAATGCTAGAGTGCAAGAAAAACATTTTTACATTTCTAGTTTTATTTCCTGCCCTTCCACAGAGTAGAACAGGATACTTTTATCACTACGCCAGTTTCACCAGCCATTGGCACCCTTTTTTGCCATATTGTTACCATCAAACGTTGAACCATCTACTGTCATGTATGACAGCCATTGCATGTGACGAATATGTATAATGAAGCTGCTACGTAATGTTTTCATCTGTTTATCTATAAATTTAGTTACATACAATGTCCTGTCTTCTCTGTAGGTATGACAATGATCAGGTTCCTGGTGGGGATAAGGAGAGATACGCCAGGTAGGCCTAGCCACCTGGGACCACAGAGGATTTTCCACTGGCTCAGGGATCTGCAGGCTGTACAACCTGCACGCTTCACACCTGTTCTGACCTGCTTTCCAATATATCAAAGGCACAGTGGGGTTGGTTGAGTCGGCTCAACTCACTGGATTATCTTTTGGCATAAAATGAAGATACAGTAGATGAGAGAATGGAGAACATTCACAGAAAATGTCTGTGGAGAAAACGACAGCTATGAACCCTGTAGCTAAGCCTGCTGCATCCTGCCTCATGGAGCCACTAGAAGACCTGTGATAAGAATAGCATTTGATCAGAAACATACTTTTAGGCTTTTATTTTATCTACATTTGGCATGAAATTTTCAAAAAAATTTAGATGCTGGGACAAAAATGTTTTTGCTTCATATCTCAGTGAAATACAGAGTCACAAATGCAGGTTCTAGCAGGTCTAGGAGCCTTTAAAAGCCCTTTGTTTTGGGCAAAACCTTGTGTGTACCTTCTGTCTTCTCAAAGAAAATTTCTCATAAAAGACCTTGCTGGCAGACTCGCATTGTTGTAACCAGTCCCTCTGAAGGGAAAACGCCAACCCAGAAATAATCTAAAAATAAGCAATGTTCACATGTTGTTGACAGGCAATTTTATTCAACTACACAGTATCAGTTGTTCTTCCAAAATGCTTATCATGACCAACTTATTGTAGATTCTAGACAATACACGTAGAGTAAGATGTAAGGATAAAATCATTCATCTAGCACTTTACTTTAGACTAAGACAAATCACAGGTTGGTTAGGGGCACTGACAAAGCCTGTTGCAAAGCATAGCCAATATACTGGAGAGACATTGAAGAAAAAGTACTGATCAGATGCATCTTAGCTGTTAGTGTTCAAGCAAGGCTGGTTAGTGATCAACAGCCTATTACTAGATACCTGTCTGTATTCTCCCAAACATCTAACTGCACTTTTCTTTATTTCAGAGAGAACCACAGTGAAATTGAGCGCCGCCGACGCAACAAAATGACACAGTACATCACTGAGCTGTCAGACATGGTCCCTACCTGTAGCGCCCTGGCCCGAAAGCCTGATAAGCTGACCATCCTGCGAATGGCTGTGTCCCATATGAAATCTATGAGGGGCACTGGCAACACTTCCACTGATGGGGCCTATAAGCCCTCTTTTCTCACTGAACAGGTACTGTCAGAGACCCAGAGTATTGTAGAGGACATACTGTATAAATGTCAGAATCAGCTTTATGTTGGGCTTATGAGGAATTTGGCTCGGGTAATCGGCTAATATATTGGCTGAATTGAATTTGGCTAATATAGGAACACAAAGTTTGCGTTGTGCTTTTTTCCAGATATACAGTATATACAGTAATAATTACAGGTATTGCACTGGGGGTTGTCCTTTTGTTATTAATATAAAAATATAAAACATTTTCACTGCACTTTTTCTCATTGACTCACAGCGGTGATCAACAGAATTACTTTGGATATCCCAAAAACAAAAAAAGAAAGTCACACACAAACACAGGCAGCACGGTGGCGCAGTGGTTAGCACCGTTGCCTCACAGCGAGAAGGTGAGGACCTTTCTGTGTGGAGTTTGCATGTTCTCCCCGTGCTTGCGTGGTTCTCTCCGGGTACTCCGGCTTCCTCCCACAGTCCAAAGACATGCAGTTTATATTGATTGGCGTCTCTAAATTGCCCATAGGAGTGTGTGTGCGCGTGTGTGGTTGGTCGTCTATGTGTTAGCTCTGCGATGGATTGGCAACCTGTCCAGGGTGTACCCTGCCTTCGCCCGATTGCAGGCTGGGATTGGCTCCGGCCCCCCTGTGACCCCGTTCAGGGACTAAGTGGTAGAAAATGAATGAATGAATGAATGACACACAAACATTCGTGGCTAACATGAGTGTGAGTTGAGGCACAGACAGGATCAGTCTGGCTGTGCTGTCACACTCCTGATAGACGTTCACAGCGTTGTGACACCATTTCTCACATTTCAGAATCTTTTCAAACCGGTCAGTCAATAACCAGTTGTTGTGCATGGATACAAAATAGTTCACAGAGCTCCACATCAACCTACCGCAACAGTAAAATCCTACTTTTACATCAGTGCATGGCTAGTAATCATATAATATATGATAGTCTAACAGTCACAGGAGGCATTATTCTGCATTGAGCACTTCCACTTAAAGTACATTTATGTGATAATATTTACTTTTACTTTTTCAATGCAGGACTTTTACAGTGTGGTGTTAGGGTCTTAGTACTTTTATGTAAGTAAAGGATGTAAATACCTCCACCACTGGTGCTAACATGCCAGCTAACACTTTAATTACTTTTATTATTATAATCCTGTTAATTTTTTTAGAGTCAAGATGGCTCTGCAAATACACTTCCAGATCCAGCTAACCAACTGTCAGTAGCAATTAAAGAAAGTGTTTCTTTAACTCCCCCCCCTGTGGGTCATTATAGCGGATCATAATAATATTAGCTGTGTAATACTGTGTACTATGATACCATGAAACTGTGACTCTGGTATTCTGAGACGGTTATCATACCATGAAGATCTCTTGCCATTGCAACCCTACATGAAAAGCAAGACTTATTCTAGAATGATGGTAGAATACGAGCTCAGAATAGAAATTGTGTATATATATATATATAT